ATAGCCTTTTCCATTAGCAGCAAAGAGGCTTCACCTTGAGGACAGTTCCAGGTGACAGTGTCTGACTGTCTTTAGAAGGAACCTTAGGCCAATTCTGAGGTTAATGAAAGAATATTGAGATCTATTAGCAATACTCCAGGGGCTCAGATACCACATGTATCATAAGTTTGCCTCTCCACTTAAATAAGGCAAGGGCTTTTGGGTCAGTACTGGATGAATCCCAGCTCTGCAACTACTTTCCTGGGTGATATTGAGCTCAGTTTCTTCATCTATAAAATGAAAGTGATAATCCCAATCTTGAAGAGTGGTATAAACCCCTTACCAAATGCCTTTCAGTCAATAAAGGGTAGCTAACTTTTCCCCCTTCTTCATTCAAGATCTCCCTTAAATTAAACCTTGTGGGTGTAATTTTATTGGAAAGAGACTGATTGGAGAGTCTCACCCATCTCAAGTGCCTGTGTATTAAAAGTTTTATAAATCTATCAAACGAAGGGAAATATAAGCTAGAAGGGAAGCCTAAATAGAGAGGTGCACTGGCTCTCAGAATCAGTGCTCTGTCACTCACATAGAGAAGAAGAAGGTAGGGGAAAAGAGTGGGAGAGAGGGGGAGAGAGAGATGCGGGGAGAGAGCTGTCAGCGTTTCCTTTGGTTAATGTGACACCTAATACAACTCAATACATTGTTAGCCACGGAAACTTTGGTGACTTTGGACAAATCGAAGATGCCTGGTTTGCTGTAACTCAAGATGAATAATTTCTGCACAACTTTTTCTGGATTTTTCTCTAGAGTGGCTGCTATGCTGTATTCATATTGGTTGCATCCCTAGACTTTCTCCTTGAGAACACAGAGGAGAAAGAGCAGGCTGCTGTGCTCTTATTAATATTTGTGCTCATTTACATACCCAGTTCCCTGTGAAGATCTGTCCTCCTTCCTGGGAGCAAAATTCAGAATCCAGTTTTCAAGGCTGCACTCTGTGGTCCAGAAGTAGAAACCAAGCCCCAAAGACCATGAATAAAGATGTGCCTTGTTATAAAGAGAGCTGTGATATGCCCTGGGAGAGAAGGCTCAACAATATTTCAGATACGTCATATGTGCAGGTGGATAACAAAGGAAAGAAATTCTCCCAGATTTGGGGTCTCTTGGGGAAGGAAAGGAACTCTCACAACGAAAGGGGATATTTTGTTCTTTTCCATAGCAGCAGATTGACTCCAAAGGAGAAGATCCCCAAATACTGAAATGTGTGCCTGGCACTGGCCAGATTCTTGTGGTGCAGGTCCCTGTCTCTGCCTGTCTTATTCCTGGATGACTGGGTGTCGTCACAGGACAGCACCTCCTGGTCTCTGAAATAATCCTCCAGGATTTCTGTTATAATTCAGGAATAGAGCTATTCAACCTTGGAAAACCAAGATCTTCCCTTCTTGCTGTTGTTCACATTCTGGGTTATCTTAAAGTTGTATGTTCCTAGACCGAAATCTAGGGATTAGACTAGAGGTGGATGGTTGAAAACCCTTGGATAATTCCAGACCCTAAATGGAATTTCCCTTCCCCAGCGGTCTTCCCCTCCTGACAGCGCTGTTCGCTGTGCATGTTATTCCACCTCTAATATTACTGTTGCCGAGCACTCTGCAGCTGCGTGGAAGTTATTCATTTATGTGGTTTGGGCCAGTTTCTGAGAAACAGGCAGAACTAGAGAGCAGAAGAATCCATCAATGTTAGATTTGAACAAAGAAAATTATGATCTTTTGAGATTTGTCCTTCGCAGTGCTGGCAGAGACACAAAAACAGAGCATAGGAACGCTATAGATACAGAGTAGATAGAGTCCTAATTCCAGGGAAGAAGCAGGGGGTTGAGAAGAATACCGCCCCCCCCCCAATTCATTGACTCCTCTATCTATTCCTTGGAGTTTTATCTTATGAGTTTCCCTTAGGTGTTATTTCTGTGGTTGGTTTCTTTTTCTAGGTTTTTAAAAATATTATTCCTCCATTTTAGATGAGTTTTTCACACTTCTCAAAGAACAGGGGTGTGTTTGGTCATCCTGATAGTATTTGTTTGACATTATTTGCAAACTAGATTTGTTCCTCCTCAGAATAAGTGTAGAATGTTTCTTTATGCTTGAAGTTAGCCCCATCATTTTTCTAAAAGGAAAAAGATTGTGACCTAAAGCAGTTTTCATATGATTACTTAATAATGGTACTTCCTCAAAGGTACCTAAAACAACTTTTCTACTGCTTCAAAATATTACTAAAATTAAGAAGAGTATCATTTGTTTAAAAAATACTAAATTCTGATTGAAATATTTCTAAAAATATAATGAAACTCATCTGTATTTTACTATTTTGACTTACTAGCAAAATAAGATATAAGGTGAGGATATGACTTTAAATTTCCCCCCACATAGCTATAAATCACATAGCACCATTAAAAAAAAAAAAAGCTGTAGTTTTCCATAGACGAAATTCTTTTCCACGTAATAAATTCTTACATATAATTAAAAAAAAAACTCTCCCGTTTCATAGATCTCCTTACTAATTCCTCATTTCTTTACTAATTCCTAAGATATCCTTACTAACTCCTACGAATGTTTTAATAATTGCAATTTTTATGTCATATTTTAATATTATAGTAAATCAAATAAATGTCCCGTCATTATTCCAATTTTCATAATTTTCTTGGTTTCTTCTAGATGAATGTTAGAATAATTTTATAAAGCTTCAAAAATATCAGCTGGAAATTTTTTAAATTAGAATTTCATCAAACCATAAATTAGCTTAGGACAAATAATTGATTTTCCTAGCCAGAATCATGGTTAAGTATTTTCTTCTATTCAACTTTAATATGTCTGTGTAAACTACATAACTTCTCTGTATGCATCCAGTATAATTCATATTTAATTATGGATTTTATAGATTTCTTTGAGGGATAAGAGATAGTGGGATGGGAAAAAAATACAGTGTTAGTACTACTTCAAATGTTCCTAATTCTAGTTTCCTTTTCATTTTATCATGCTACTTTTGATGATGGAAGGTTCTAGAAGGACTTAATATCCATCTATGGAAGGACAAATATTCAATGCATATGAGGATCTCCAGATTATAGTACCATGAAGAGCCAGTTTCCAACTTCTAACACATGAAATTACGTGTTCCTAATTACCTGCCCAGAGCTTTCAGTCCAAGTAGGATGATTTTTTCCTGCCACTTTTCTTGTGACTGCATAGTTGTTATAATCAATGACTCTTTGCTTCACATTCATTGTGGCATATTCAGGAGACTGGAGTACATTCATTTATATCAGCATCAAAAGTCCGTTCCTGGGTTACCCATGTTAGGGCTCCCCAGAGAAACCCACCTACCTGTCCTCCTGAGCACTGTACAGTGTTCCCAGTTGTGTCTGTTTTCATTCTGACATTTCAAAGCCTCTGGTTTCTCCATAGTCACCTCCCACACCAGTGTCTATTGCCTTGACCATAGCCAGAATAATCTTAAAACTCAAACCTCATCCTGACACTTCACTTGTTGAAAGTCAGGATCAATCCAACAGATATCCATGAAGGAGGAGCTAACTGTGTTCACAATATTATATTGGGTGTTGTCATACAAAAGTAACTGGGCCTGAAATTGCACCTGGTTATTTTTTTTTAACTTTTTTTTTTAAAGATTTATTTATTTATGTATACAAGAGCTGGGGTGCAAGCCAGAGTGTGTGTGTGGTGGGGGTGGGGGTGTGGGGTGGTGATGTGTGTGAGAAGAGTCTCCACAGACAGAGTGGGGAACAGAACAGGCAGACTGACTGAAATACACTACTGAGGGGAGCAGCGGGCGAGACAGGAGGGGGTCTGCTGAGCCATGTGGGTAGCCTCCTGGCTGGGGATCAAACTAGTGCTGCAGTGGCTTCGGATAGCTTCATAGTGCTGTGTCTTAACTCCTTGCACCACCAGGGAGGCCCTGTACCTTGTTATTAAGGGCTAAAAGCCAAAATTGTTAGCATGACAGGCAAGCAACTAGTAATCAAATGGTCTGATCTCCCTTACCTGTCCACAGACATCTAGCATCTGGACTCCTGAGAACACGTTCTCCTGTGTGACTCCCTGCTTGGCTCATGCTGGTCGTCTGTCTCTCTCTGTCCTTCCTAGTAAAGCCCTACCCTTCTTTCAATGCCAGATTCAACATCACATACAATGCGAAGCTTTTCTCTGCCAACTCAGAAGGCAGGGCCTCCTTGCCAGCTCCCCCAGCAGTTGGTCTGACACACTCATGCAGCACAGAGAAGCCCTGGTAGCACCGTTCAAGCAAGTGGCTGCTATGGGTCCCTTTGCCTGCAGCCTGTGTCTGTGCGTAGTGCCAGGTGGTCCTGGGAAGGAAGAGGCAGAACCACACAGACGAGAGCCAGGCTACTCTCCTCTCCCCCCTCCTCTCCCCTCCTCCTTTTCCTCTCTTCTTCCTACCTTGCCCTTTCTCCTCCCTCTTCCTTTCCCTTCCTATTTCCTTCCTCTCCCTTCTTTCCTTCCTCTTTCTCTCCTTTTATAAACCAAATTGGGCTTCCCTATGCTTTTCAGAAAGAGGCCTGAGGTTTTTCAAAAACGTGTTCTATTGCCTGTCATCCTTGGGAATTGTCATCATTTATCTGTCTGCTCACAGAGCTCAGAGTCCTTGAAGACTAGGAAAAGGGACAGATACATTTTGATCATAGAGGAAGTGATATGGGAGCCAGCAGGCATGACTTGAGAAGACAGTGATAGCTGGAATGCTGCACTGGGGTCCTGGTTTCCAGATGATGAAGGATGTGTGGCGAACTGAGAGTGTGAGTGCCCTCCTTTCTCAACAGCTTTGACTTCAGTAGTTATGGGAAGGTAGACCGTGACCGTGGACCCTGGCAGAACACATAACCCACCAGCGCGTTCTAACGTATGTCTCAGCTTATTTTACGTTAGCCCTGGGGATATGGTTTACCTTAAGTGGTTCCTTTATGTTTGCATCTTTGTTCTTTCTGTTCCCTACAGATTCATGAAGGTGGCAGGAAGCACAGTGGATGCAGTTACCTGGCAACAGTAGGTATTCACCATTTTTCCTCTTATTATCAGCTGCTGTGAAGTGAAAGATAATTAGCTGTCACCAGGTTTATAGCTGACATCTAAGAAGTGATCCTTCACCTGCTAAGAAAAATGTTAAAACTCACTCCAAAGCTATTCCTGTGATGCAGCCTGTAGCATAGTAATATAATTTTGTTTTGTTGTTTGGAAAAAAAAAAAACAAAAAACAACAAACCTCACTCGTTTTGATGACTCAGCTGTTATGCACACGATTAAATTAATGTGTCATCGGTGACCAGGTAACGAAAACCTGAACATGCCGCCATTTCGTGGCTTTTTCTCTGGGAATAATTTCTCCTGTTTAAGAGAGGAAATAATTTTAATTACTCAATATATCATGTGAAAATAGCAACACTTCATTATTTTAATGGCAGTGGTCTTAATTAATGCCAAGAGAGTCGCTAAGATGAAGCAGATTAAAAAAAAGGGAGAAAAAGAAAGAATTTGAAGGGAATGAAGCTGCTTCAAGAGAGGAAGTAACCCTGACATTCCTGGAAGCTTTCAATGCAAGTATCTGAACCTATGGGTAGCCTAACTTATAAAAGTAATTACCTGATAAATAAATTAAAATTTTAAGTCTCCTTATGGCATTTGTTCTGGAATGTTCTTCCTTTCACGATTTCTTACCAATTTTGCACTGGAACCCTGCCCTTGCTTTTTTGGTGAGAAATCTATCCCACAGCATCTTCCATATCACCTTCTATCTAATGTGGTCCTCAGAGCCCAGACCTGAATTTCCATTCTGGGCCTGCATAGTTCTCCACTATGGTCATCTTTCTCAGTCACTCAGCTCCCTGCCTGCCTAGGGTAGTTATTCTTCTCATCTGTTCTGTGTAAGTGGTTCCCAGTATCCCTTGCCTATTCATGACATGTGTGAAATAAAGGAAAGGAATGAATTCCTTATTACATATCCTTGAAAGACTTTTGGTTTGCTGGCAATTAATAACTTCGATCATAGTGGAAAATATTTTCTTCTACACTTATATTCTTAACATCTCTGAACAATAAGTTCCAAATGTTTACACAATTTCTTATCCTCCTTTGTCTTGAGGTCTGAGGATCTTGTCATTCCTTGTTGAAAACTCCTCAGTCTCTTCCTTTTGCACTTAGATGAAAACCAAACTCTCTGTATTCTAGTCTATAAGGCATTTGGAGTTTTGCCACCTTCTGATTGCACTTGTGCTACTGTACCCTTATTCATTCTGTTTCACCACCCAGGTGATGAAAGATTCTTAGAAGGTCCACACATATGTAAGCCTCAGGCTCTTTGTATGCGCTGTTCCCTCTGCCTGGAATGCTGAACTCCCACTTATTGGGTGGAGGGTTCATGCTCTCTTAAGACTCAGCTTACATGTCATCTTCTTCAAGAGACCTACCCTGTGTCTCCCTCTTGAAACTCTTTCTAAGCTCTTTTTTCATTGTGCTTATAGTTTGTGTATTTTTCTCTTCAGCCAGAATGGTACTTATTCAACAAAGTGCTAATGTAGGCAGTTGTTTATTGGATTTACACTGGGGGAATAATAACAATGATAATAATAAGAACGTGGCAGAAACTGTTGCATATCTCCACATGCTTTACCATATCTGGTTCTCACAAGGAGCAAATGAGGTAGGGACTGTTTTTATCACTATTTTCCTATAACTTGGAAGAAGATGTAGAAAATTCAAAGATTATACAGACAATGGAAGGTTTTGTACTTGAAGTTGGGTTTGTCTTCTTAATGATTACCACTTCGTTAATATGACAATTATCCTTTACTGAAAAAATACATTCTAATGGGAAAATTAAGTCTTCTTTAGCATCCTCACCAGAGGCTACCTGGATATTGTATCATAAAGTGTGAAGCCTGAAGAATTTATGGTATTTATAGGGAAAAGTAAAAAGCTCAGAAGTCAAATATAATTATTAGTTAAGAATGTGTGATTTTCTCAATTATTATGACTGATGGAGGGATCACAGAAAGCTTTTCCTCACTATTCCTTTTCCATAGTGCAAATGGAATGAAGTAAGCCTAGTGTGTTTTTTTTTCATTATGAAGAAATTCTTTTTAAATAGCTATATTGTGTTTATTAGCTACTTTAAAAATATTGACCTTCTCTCAAGATAAGTATCATGTGTTTTCTACTCTTCCAAAAATACCCCTAAAGCAAGCAAGGGCTTGTGTTTCTTTTGGCCCCAGGATCAGCACTCATATGGGGACAACAAGTAGCACCTGGAATCTACCATCTATCCCTTCCAGCCATAGTTTTCACTAAGACTTGGAATAATCATGGAACAAACCCAGTAAATCCTGGCCAGAAAGGACTCAGTGAAAATTAAAGCCAAATGTCATGTTTCTCCAATCTTGAGAAATACTGAGGTGAAAATTTCTTAATAATGTAAAGGAAATCAGGAATCATCATCAGGAAAAAAAAGAAGTAACACAGTCTTTGTAAACATATATCTATATTTAGGTGGCCAAAAGAATCCATTCAGTAATGAAATGTTGAGCTTGGAGCTTGAACAATTATGTGCTACTCAGAGTCTGAAGTCATGAATAAAAAAATCTATATAGTTAGATTACTTTTATTTGGAAGTTCATGTACTTGGATTCTGAAACTCAAGATCATGCCTTAGTGATTGGACCAACCCACCAGCCCATGCAGCATGCAGAAAACCTAGCAAGAGTTAGTGAAATGAAGTTCCAGTTACAGACATGCTGGAGTAAATTGTATCGGATTTTAAGGATAAATCTGAACAATAACAGGTAGGTAGGTAGATAGACACATGCACACATACATACATACACACATGTACATATATATACACATACATACACACACATTCACCTATACAAGAGTGACCAAAAGAAGGTAAAAACTAGAGGAAGTTCTTCAACCCTTAAAAGAGATAGATGGTACTACTGAGATCTACTTTTATATGTGCTTACTCAGCTGTCCATATGCAGCATGAGTCAGTTAACATTCAAACAGAAATACATTTTCATATTGACTAGACATGGTAGAGGGAGTTGAAAACTATAAATATCAGAAAGAAGGAGCTACTAGATCCAAACCAAATTTCTTCATTCTCCACAACATATCATTCATATTTTCCAGTATACAATTAAAAAAACATTAGACATACAAGGAAACAGGCAAATGTGACCCATGGCCAAGAGAATAAGCAAAAATAGCAATACTGAGATGATCCAAATATTAGAATTAAATGACAAGGATCTTAAAGAAGCTATTACAACTATATTCAAATATGAAGGGGGAAATATCCATATTGATTAAATAAATAGGGAAATATAAGCAGTGAATGGAAACAATATTTAAAAAATAGAATCAAATTAAATTCTTGAAGTACAAAAAGGAATTATTAAAATGAAAAACTTGTTGATGGGCTTAATAAGAAACTGGAAACTATGGAAGAAAGGGTTTGTGAAGCTGCATATAGAGCAATAGAAATGATACAAATAAAGAACAGAAAACAATTATTGGGCAGAAAATGGTGAAAGTTTTAACAACTTCATCACCAATATCAAGAAGTCTAACATCTGCATTAGAGACCAAGAAGATGAGAGAGAGAGAGAGAGAGAGAGAGAGAGAGAGAGAGAGAGAGAGAGAATGGGGTGAAAGTATTTTCAAAGAAACCGAAAATGAACTTCTCCCAAATTTGGTGAGAAATGTCTTCAAGATTTTCAGACAGAAGTGACATTTTACATAAAGAGAACAAGATTCAAATAATGCCTGACATGACATCAGAAACAATGAAGGACAGATAACAATGGAACAATGTCTTTGAAGTAGCAAAGGGGAAAAGTCATCTAGAATTCTGTATCTAGAAAAATTCTTTTAAAATGAAAGTCAAGTAAAATTGCTTTTGATAAATGAAAGCCAGTAGACCTGAGCTGTAAGAAATCCTTAAAGGGGTCTTCAGACAGAAAGGCAGTACCATGAGAAGGAGACCTTAATCTCAAATAATAATGAAAAGCACTGGAAGTTATAATTTGTGGATAAATAAAAAGAAGAAACAGTGACCTCAGCAGCAGCCCTATTTACAATAGATAAAACCTGGAAATAACCCAAATGCCCAAAAATAGAAATAGATGACTGCATCAAGAAGATGTGGTGTATATATATATATATATATATATATATAGAGAGAGAGAGAGAGAGGAATATTATTCAGCAATCAAAAAAGATAAAATCATGCCATTCACAGCAACGTGGATGGAGCTGGAAGGAATTATGCTCAGTGAAATAAGCCAGAAAGAAAAAGAAAAATATCGGATGGTTTCACTTATAGCAGGAATATAGGGGAACCAAATAAGACATCAGTGTAAAAAAATAATAACAGTACAAAACACAACAAAGCAAAAACAGACAATTATATATCAGAGACATCCTGCAGGGGAGGAGGCAGGAGAGGGATGAGAGGGAGGGAGGGAGGAGCACAGGGGACTGAGGTGATGGTGCACGGGTGCCTTGGGGAAGGAAACTCTATGGGGACTACACCTGAGGGGGTGGGGAGAAGCAAATATTGCTTAAAAATGAACAATGATGTAAAAAATTAATAAAAAAAGAAGCTTTGAAAAAAACAAACAAGACTCAAATTAAGTAAAATGAAGAGTGCAACAAAGGAAAAGTGGGAATCTATAAAACAACAAATAGACAGCAGTAGAGAAAAAGTGCCAACACCAAATATGTTTCTCTGAATAGATCACAAATTTGAAAAACTGCTGAGAGAATGAGAAAGAAAGATCATCAGCTGCCAGTATCAGGAATGAAAAAGGAATTTTCATCTAGATCCATAGACATTTAAGTTTTATTAGGCAACATTATGAACAGTTTTATTCCAGCTCATCTGACACTGAGGGGACAACGTCCTTGAGAAATACAATTTACCAAAACATGACACAAATTAAAAATTCTTAATATCCCTATACATCTGGTTCATTTTTGGAAAATCT